TAAACGCGGGAATACTCAGGGTCTTCCCACCGTTCGAGCGAGCCACCATCGATATGGGGGCCAAGGGTGAACTTGGAATCACCAGGCATGCGGATCCGGAGTCGATCGGCGTATGTGAGGGGGTTTCGTGTGGAAATTTTGGTTTTGGGGTCAGATGAATGCCACAAACGCTGCAAGAAGCGCTGCGTATCAAGCATGTTAGGGTGCGCCCGGGCTTCCGCCTGTGCTTGGGTCCAATACAACTCGTATACTGCAGGCGAATCTGGTGGGAAAGCCTTCACACGCTCTTGGTTGGCAGCAACATAGTCCTCAACGCGCTCCTTATACTCTCTAGCCATTCCACGGGGTAGCACATTTCTGATTACTACTGTTCCACGGTGGCGGATTTCCGCCAGGACCTTCTCCGGTACATTTCCAGAGACAACGTCCGCGTAATCCACAGAAGGAATAATCTGGCGTAGAGTTAGCGACGCTGCCCGCAAAATCCATCACCACTTAGAAGATAGAAAACATACATCGCTTCCTTTTGACTTGATCTTATCAACTTCCTCTTCTAAGCTAGGCAGTAGTCTCTTCCAGCTTTTCTTCAGCGCGGCTTCGTTTTGCTCGAAATATTGCAACTTTAAATCCCTGAAGCGCGATGGAAGAGGTTCTGGTTTGTAATCTGGTCTCAAACTGGGGAAAACGCTCGAGATATCTCCCGCCGCCTTGGTGGTTTGAGCGGAAGTCGAAGTGGACACAGCCCGAACCGCTGATCGGGAGAGAAGTCGTGACATTGCCATATTGTGTGGATCTGCTTAGAGTATAGAAATATCTGACTTTCCTATCTTTTTACGATGGGGTCTTTGCGACTTTATATGGCTCGCAATTGCCCCAGGGCTCAAGTACAGATGTGGAGATATTGTCGGAAACACCTGAAACGGAAGTCGATCCGACTACCATGTTAGGAAGGCAACCGCTCGACTGATGTCGTTCCCGGTTCGATCCCGGGTGCGACTACTTCTCTTTTTGCTGTTGCGTCGTTTATGGGTGGAAGGCCGCCGAGCCGGAAGCCTCAGGCACCCAGGTGTGAATAACCTCATGTCGGGTATATCATAACACTCTCTGTTCATCCGTTTTCTTACACGCATACGCTTCTTGTGTGCACAACAGCTCTATACTACCAGCATGAAATTCAACACTATCACTAGCTCTTATCACTACCCCTTATTATCGGCACTATTACTATTTCTATAACCATTATCTAAATATAGTCAGATTTTCCTAACTCGCTATCATGTCCAAGACACCGCAAAACACATCGTAAATGCGATAAATTACTACTTCATGTTTCAAAACCCATACAGGACAAAGAAATAATCACACCTGCGGCTGAGTACAAAATTTTCGTGCATCCCAGCGTACCCGTCGCAAATGTCGATTGGGATCCTTAACCTCATTTCTCGCGTGCAACCACCGCCCATTGTCCATGAGGATAATCGATCCCCGCGGCAACATCTCTGGCGTGAGATTCAGAATCCGCTCTTTCGCCGCAGGTCCCAGCAGGACGCGCTTCAGCTCCGCCAACGCCTTGGCCGCCTCCTCACACAACGGCGTGACAATATCCTCCCGAAACCGGAGTTGCGTCGCATTGCTGTTGGGGTTAATCGTGAGCAGATTGCCCACGATCTCCGTCTCACCTTGCGACTTGATAAATTCTGGTGGAACAGTGATGCGATAGTTCGGCGTAAACAGCCACTCCCTCGCAAAGGGGGACAGCAGCGTCAACAGTTGATCAACATTCAGCACGGACAAAGTGCCTCCACCACACTGATCTGGTTGGAGAACCTGCAGTGCGAAGAATCTTGGCGGCTCGGCTTCATAGCTGCAATCGGTATGCCAGGGAAACTCTTCCGTTGTCTCCGAGCGCGCTTGATGGTTATTACTCTGGAAGGAGTCCGCGGAGGGACGGATATCCCACATCCAGCCGCGGTTGGCAGAATGGGTGAGTGGGAGGCCGTGGGCGTGGCTCTTGTGGAGATTTAAGAGGAGGTTTTGAATATATCTACTCTCGTCGTCGGGAAAGGCGAGGTGCATGTGCAGAATACCTTCATTTTGGAGGGTGTGGTTGACGGTGTCTAGGTGGGAGGATTCAGAGGCCAGGGTCGGGCCGGGGACGGGGATGCTGGGAATTGAGTGGATTGAAGAGGTGGATCGGGGTTCTGTCAGTTGGCAGTGAGTATAGTGCGTGTAAGTGAGTATGCGGGCAATTGAGACGTACTGTGTCTGAACAGTTTGGAGGCCGAATGAAGAGGGCGTGATAATCGCTGCATGATGGCTGGCTGCTGACTTGGGGCAAAGAAAGAAAGTCCGGTTCAGCCAAAAGCCAACAGAGAATGAATCTCCATCATGAACGCCACAGAAATACTGGAGAAAAGCCAGCTTTGCGGTGAGTATAGGATGGTATTTTCAAATTTGCAAAATACGAAACGCGCCACGATGATCGATCCGTCAGGGACGAACTCCGTCCAAGCGTCCAATGAAAAGAAATAGCATCTCGTAAGGGCAATGATCCAGCTCGCCACTCTCCGATGGAGGATCCACTTCAGCTGAAAGTATTTTGAGGACCTAGCATCCCGCGTAGCAAGCCTCGGAAGACTTCTCCAACACACCTCATTGTCTATACGCCATGAAGAAACCATCCTGTGCTCTGCACACCATCCTCCTCCCCTCCACATCTGGGGAGCAACATATCTTTCCGCAAGATAGTGACGCGGCGACCCGCCAGGCCCTCATCAACAAGCTCCGATGCAACATGCTCAAATGCAGTCCTCCAGAAACCTGGGGGGCTGGCGATATCTACGAAACCTGTTCTCCACATCCAGTCCTCGTATCCCCCACTCACAAAAAACAGCTGCAAAGCCTTAGCGAAGCTTTATCGACGGCGATTGTCGATGTCGTAAACCGATGGTGGAGTGATGCTGGGGCGAGATTTCCAGAGCGCATGCCAATTGAGCCTTTTGAGGAGGACTTATTGCGGGTATGTCTGTCTCTGGTTGGGAAAAAGGCTCTGCGATTTCTAATCATCTACTCGAGTAGTGGATGGACTCCCAACCAGACAGTGTTATTCGTCCCTTTGAAACCTGCACGGGGTCATGGCGACCGGATATGCTGCTCGAACCGGCAGTCGACGGGGGAATTGAGAATTATCGCATCTGCGAGATCAACGCTCGCTTCTGCATGAATGGGTTTCTGGTTACTGCGTATGGGCAGCAGGCACTGCTTGATATGGGCGTTGGGCGGAATGGACTCAAGGGTGTGACAGATCCAGAGACGGTAAGTCCCGATGATCTCCATGAAGAGTAAAAGCTGAACGGGCTAGGTGAAAAATGGACTGAATAGTCTCTACAATCCCAGTCTACCGCTGCACTTCTGTAAGGGTGAGGAACCTGGGTATGACATTCATCTCTACCGCCACTACGCAAAATCCCTCGGGATCCAGGTACGGCTCATCGATCCGGCTGATTTGCGTGTACTCGAGTCTCCTACGTCGCCTGGCGGGTATAAATTGTACTGCCTGGCACAGGAGAATGCCGCTGCTACCGTCGCCAACGAAAACGATGAAATCCTCGAGGAAATTCACCAGATCGGATTGGAACTGCACCAGAGGGAGCTGGCGAGGATGACTCCCCAAATGCTTCAGCAACTCAGCCTGCGATGCTTCAACGACATGCGCACCATTCTTCTCGTCCACGACAAGCGATTACTCGGCATCATCATCCAAGAACTCGACAATTTAGTCACGCGCAACGTGCTCACCCCCGAACAAGCCACCATCCTCCACCAAGGCATCGTTCCCACCATCATCCCCGGCTCGTCACAACTCTCCCACTTCATCGCAGAATGCCGTAAGTCCTCCCTCCAAGACGCCTATCTCCTCAAACCTGTCCGCAGCGGCAAAGGAGCCGGCATCCTCTTTGGCGACGAACTCGGCCGGGATGAATGGTTGTCGAAACTGAAGTCTATGCGTGACCCTTCTCTACAGCGGGGGAAGACGACGTATGTGATACAGCGGCGCATTGAACACGGACTTTACGAGGTGCTCCTGCGCGAGAGCGACGGTGTGCAGCGCTACCCCCTGATCGGCACTTTTATGATGGTGCATGGCAAACTCCTGGGCCTCGGGCTATGGAGAAGCGGCCCAGGGCGGATTTGCGCGCTGAGCTTGGGTGGTGGCTGGATCTGTTCAGTGGAAGAATAAAGTGGGTCTGCATGGACTTTGCGAGCTGAATGGAACCAAATGATGCGTTCTCAAATACGTACCATGTTCACATCCGTTGACCGGCATAGCGGGTCATGATCCTTCAAAACAAGAGTCGGTCGCTAAGTGTGTTCAGCCTGCAGAAACAATATAGAGTTAGAGCAAAGAAACATATGGTGTAACTAGTTGCCAAACGCATGCATCAAATAGTGCTTCGCCGAGGAAGGGATCCTGAAAGTCAATACTGAAATGCAAAAGTCAAAAGAGAGAGAGAGAGAGAGACGGGAAACCCATTGCCGGAGATTCCGGATTTTTCAGCATTCACCGTCCTTTCCTGCTCGGGGGAGACTACAACGAGTTAGCTTCGATAGCCGGGGAACCTGGAAGAAGCTAAAGATGAGGCATCTCGGGATCTGGGTGGATCTCCATCACTTCGGCAATGCTCCATGTGGGTCGCATCAGCTAGCGTGAACCTTAGTAGGGACGGGAAGTCATGTGACCAATCAGGATGATGTCTTGAGGACCCTCAGACCCAGACCTCGAGGGACCTACAATCTTGTGATGATCTTGTAGAACATTACCCGATCGGGGGTCGTGAAGAACGTGGCAAATTCCCTCATGCTTGGGTCAGATCTGTGAAGCTGATCTCGATATGCAAATTACTAGCGTATTACCGCCGATGGGTTGAAATCCCCAAGGTCTAAAACCCGAGTACGGGGCCATGACCGTGATTTTCCATCTTCGATGTTCGAAGTTCACAATGGATGCCGAATGTTATTCTCTCTCCGATGTCCTGGCCATTGCCAGTGTTCATCCCTTCTACTCTGACGTTGTCTATCCTCCTACTCGTGAGGAGTTGCCCTCTCTTCTCACCAAGGCAAGGGACTCGGGCAATGGCGAATTGTTATCATTTCCTCTAACCCACAAAGAGCAACTGTACTACAATCTCGTCAATTCCCCTCCAATGTTCTCTACTGACTGTCCAGATATTCACAAATCGCACGCCTCACCCTCGATAAAGACCCGCGCAATGGCTACCGACTTGGCACATACATCAGCACAACGGGTGGAGGTTCAGGAGGACCGCCGATGGTCTTTGCGACTGATTCAATTGAAACTCGTAGGCAGCGCGCTGCATTTGGTTCATTGATGCAAACCAGCGGGGTTCTGAGTCCCGGAGACTGGATATGCACAATGCACACAGCAGGGCATCTCTACCGGTGGGTTTTCTAACTGATTTGGGGTGGTTCATCCTTCAGGGGCTAATATCAGCCAGAGCCCTTGACCTCATGACAGAAGTGTTTGAAGCCTCCGGCGCCACAGTGCTCTGCGCAGGAAACGAAATGCCCCTCGACAAGGTGGTTCTGACGATTACCGAATTCGGCGTCAACGCCGTCGCCGGCGATGCAGGGCAGTTGGTCCAGCTGGCGCAATACGTTGCCGGACTGCCCCACACGCAAAAGCACACGCTGCAGACTCAGATCAATAAAGCGCTGTACACCTCGGAGCCCATGACACCCGCACAACGCAGCTTCCTGAAATCCGTCTTCTCCAATGTCGCCATCTCCTCCGTTATTGGCAGTGCAGAGGCCGGCCCGTGGGGTGTTTCAACAGGTGAGATGACCGAGAGCGTGTCGCAGCACAATTACGAAGACTTTTTATATGACGATCGTCTCATGCATCTGGAAATTCTGCCCTCCTCTATTCTGGACCCTGGCCGCACAGAGAAGACACCGACTGCTCCCGTTCCGGACGGTGAAAAGGGCCTCTTGGTCCAGACCTCCCTACAGCGTCTGCGTAACCCTCTTGTGCGCTACGTTTGCGGCGATGTTGCCTCCTTTCACCCCCTCCCCGCATCCATCCAGTCCCGACTAACGCCCGAGGATGCATCGCACCTCCGTGTCGCGCGCGTCTACGGCCGTGACCGAAACATCAGTTTCGACTGGTATGGGGAATACTTTGAATTCCCGGTCGTGCAGCGCTTGTTCCAGACCGAGTCCTGGGGCATTCTGCAGTACCAGGTCATCCGGCGGTATCGCGAGCCGGACCCGCAGAAGATTAGCGTTGTGCTTGAAATTCGTCTACTGCGAGACTCGGGCGCTGGCAAGATTAGTGATTTGGAGTTGACGCGGGAAATTAAGACCTTTTTCTACGTATTCGAGTGCAACGAGGAGCTGTTTGAGCTCAAGCTCTTGCCTGACTCTAGCGAGTTTATGCGCAGTACGACGGGTAGGAAGGTGATGAATTTTGTCGACTTGACCAGGACGTGAATAGAGGAACAGGCTAGTCCGTAGAGAATGACAGAATAAGATGTTCACAGTGAGCCAGCCAGTAGAATTAAGCCAAGACGATTTGCTCTGGTATTTTACCAGTGTGTTTTTTGAAAGATAACATATACCAAACCCATTGGGCTGGACCCACTGTCAACAAGAGCTGAAAAGTATATTTTACTTCCCATACGCAACCACAGGACTACACGTGATCAATGAAGTGGTCTGCATTTTATAAGAGATTGCTACTGAGCTGTTGGAGTCTCCTCAATTGCCCACTCTTGCTAGGACACTCAAAATGCAGACCCAGCGGGGCTTTCCAAATGACCCCATTTTCAACCAGCTTCGCAGGCTAGCCAAGCAGTCGCCGGGCGTGTTATTCCACGATGAATATGGTGTTGATGCAAGATATAGCGACTTGATCCGTGATGTGATCCACCTGCGGGAGATCTTACGAGGGCATCTCCCGAGTGCTTCATTCGACGAGCAGGGTTGTCTGCGAGAGGATGCCAAATCGATTGCGTTTCTGGCCTATAGTGGATATAGCTTTATTATCAGCTTTTTTGCCATTGTGGCTTTGGGGGGATATGTGTGCCTTTATGTAAGTCTTTTGTCTATCGTAACAGTCTGATAATATGGTATTAAACTATGACAGCAACGGGGCTGAATGCGGACGAGGCACTCTACTTTCTGAAAAAGACCAAAGCAGCCTATATTTTGACCGAGAAGAGAACGCTCGAAATGGCTACGACATTTACAGATCATGCCCGAAACGAGGGCCAAAGGGCGACTTTGATCACAATCAGCAGAGCGGATCCCGCCACAGCGACCATCTCCAGCTCGACAGAGTTCGAGATCAACCAGGAGCTGACCTTTCCAGAAACAGCTGGCTGCCTGATTCTATTCACATCCGGCACAACCGGGCCCCCAAAGGGTGTTGTTCTCCCCCGGAAAATGTTCCACTACGAAGAAGATATAACACCCGCAACGCTCTATCTCGCATCCTGTCCCCCGCACTGGATAGGCGGAACAGGACTGATTGACAGTGTGCTTATCGGTGAAAACCTGCATATGTTAAAGAGTGAAGCCCCTCCTGCCCGGTTTTGGGAAGTGCTGAGGGAAGGAAGAGCCACAGAAATGGCCATATCCCCGACGATGCTGAGACGTTTAATGGAGTACTACCAGGAAAATATCAGCCATCTTGCTGCTGAACAACGGAATGAATATATCAACGGGGCGAAGAAACTGGAACGGGTAATTGTGAGCGGCTCGATGCTGAGTCCGTTTACTTGGCGCTTCTTTGCTGATTTGACCGGTATGCCCATTATCAACGGTTACGGGAGTACAGAGATGGGTGGGGGTGTCATTATCAACCCCCCTGGTGCGGCCTATAAGCAGGTGTGTACATGGTATTATTCCCATCTCTATTGCCCTGCTAACATAGCCAGGGCTATATTGGTAAAGTCATCCCGGGGAGAACAGTAAAGCTGTCCCACGGTGACCATGGGGAAGTCCTCGTCAAAAGCCCAATCAGATTCTCTCAGTAAGACTATCTTCCATCTTCCTAGTCATTTACTTACACAGACAGTTACATCGGCGATGAAGCAGCCACTCGTGCCGCCTTTGACGAGGAGGGATTCTACAAAACGGGCGATCAAGCCCACCGCGTCGGTGATGATTACTATTTCGACGGAAGGATTTCATCCGACTGTAAGCTCTTCTTCTATCCCCTATGTCCCCATCAGAGTAACCAACCAGACAGTTGTTCGCTTCCACGAATACACGATATCCATTCCCGAGCTAGAAAGCCAACTCCTGGATCTCTCATATATCACCGACGCGTACGTCCTTCCGGTCAAAGACCACGGAGCTGGCGGGTTAGTAGCCGCTCTTGTGCGCCTTCAAAAGCAAGAGGGTGAAAGCACTACCCTGAAGCAGATACGCGATGACCTCGCTGCGACTAATCTGCCGTCGTACAAGCTGCCTACCCTCTTGCGGGTTCTCCAGAACGAGGAACAAGTCCCGTTGACGTCGTCCGACAAGGTGTTGAAGAAGGAGTGCCTCCGGAAATTCTTCCACATCTCCGAGTACATACCGGATCCATATGCCGTGGAAGGTGTCGAGTATTGGGGGAATCAGCTTGATCTGGCTACTTCGTCGCGCGTGTTTGACTGGGGAGGTTTATAAGCTGTCAGACTGGATAGTCACACACACACACACAATAGAAGATAAACAATCAAGATTTACGAGTCAAAGGCGTTTGAACCATTTACTCACCCATATGAAGAACCATAACATCCAGGTAGTTGGATATGTTGGGATGGTCAGTACTTAAGCAATGAGTTTCGTTCTCACAAACCGTAGTCCCCTGGGGCTGCATCAGTGTAAGGGAGCCTCAACTTTGCACTTCTCCCTGCTTAATTAACACAGCTAGATTTTGAATGTAAACAAAATTTATAATAGCAGGCAAAATACGAAGGGTCTATTACGATCTGAAAATGGGAGACAGAGGTCATGTGATAGAAGAAAGGGAAATTGTCATTAAATAACTGACACCCATATGGTGCATCGTCTCTCTTTCTGTAACAGGCCCAAGGCCATATTGAGGCACGGGCTCTCATATTTTTATCCCTAACTCACGAGATCGGTTGAAGATCCACTTGGAAAGTGTATGTGGTACAGTGTGTGTGTGTGTGTGTGTGTGTGTGTGTGTGTGTGTGTTTGTGAAATCATTTACCCTGACCTCTCACGAACGATATGCAGGAATCCCCACTAGGGAGGTAATAGATGGCACCGTGCATAAGCAAGCCCCTGCACCAGGTTCTAGTAGAAGTTGTCACTGTTGACCCCACCTTAGGCCTACACTATCGTACGTTGCTGCCTGTACAGAAAGCCCTAAGACAACTTCCCTCCCTGCCCTATTGATTTTAAACAAGGACAAGTGAACCTATTATTCTGCTATCTCTATAGATCCCACAACACTTAAACCGTATCACACTATGTCCACCCTTGAAGACCAGATACGCAGTCGAGAACGATTCCGCCTCAATCATATAGGTGCTATTGATCTTGATCGGGAAACGTGTGGCTATGACAATGACAACACCTTCTGGCGTCATTTCAGGCTATTTACGAAAAATATTGCTAGTCGCTACACTAGGTCCGGCCTTCCAATAATCTTTTACGAATATGACATGCGTGAACTATGGTACATGATCATCCAAGGTGCCAAAATCACGGATGCCAGCCACCCCGCGCAGGATCGCCTGGCAAACCAAATCTTGCACGCTCGAGGAATGGGCGTGTTATCTCGCCGGAATAAAGCCTCGGGAGTCGAAGAGGAGGCATCGACTTCCGATGGAAAGATTTGGGTCGATCTACCCTTCCTTGCGCAGGAGTTCCAAGCAGCCTGGAAGACAGCCGATAAGCTACCAGCGAGACAGCGACATAACCTCAGCGCCTTTATAGCCCGCATCAGTGCTTGGGGCATCTGTGACCCAGAATTGTTCGTTTGTGCTCTTTCGATTTTCAGGGATACGTTCGAGACGCGCAGGCCGTTGACTGCTGCCAACGACCAACAGGGTGGTGACTTGCTGCCCATCACTGACCTGCTACCAGCAGCGGTAGCCTGGTTTGAGCTGTGTGCCTACAAAATCGAAAGCCTTTGTCTTGAGGCCCAGGGATTTGAGACTTCGACTATTGGTGATCTTGCTAGAGAAGCGCAAGTTTTTCCGGACACCGGTTTCAGCACTTCTAGGTGGCTCTTCTGGAGGCGACGTTTGGAGGCGATCAGCCATTGTGACCATGCTGAGACGGCGGCTTTGGCACAGCGGGGTTGGAGGGTTATGCAGTCTTGGGGTGAGAGAATTTTAGCCATTGATACCAGTAATGACTTCGGCGAGTAGCATGCAGGATTCTATTGACACTGTTATTCGTTTACCTTGTTTAATACATCTAAACTAGCTGTGGTTTACCGACTCTAAGGAAGGATTTACTAACTCTTCAGAAAACATCACTCCGGTTTAAAATAGGTCTAAAACAGTCATTACGAGTCTGACAGAGTATCTTCGGTTGGATCTTCTAACTGCAGATATATTTCTCTAAGCATTTATATATGAGGAAAAATATAGTGGTAATGGAGTATGCGATCTAGATGGAAGAAGATTATTGGGATGTTTTCTTGACTAAGTGACCTGCCACACTGTATAACTTTGATGCAGTGGACTGTTTTATGTTCTATGTAAATTCATGAAACGTGAAATTTTTCCGTTGTATATAAGCACTTCCACAAGGCGAACCCTCAATCGCTAGCCTCCTGTACTGGTTCATAGTTATGGCGGGGTCGAACAAACAAAAACAGTGGCAAGGATAGACCAGCTAGGGTGGAAGCCACTACAAAGGGAACTCCAGTGTACTCAGTCCCGAACTTCAATCCCAAAGTAAAGGCGCCTGAATATAATGGGCCTACTAAGGAAGAGCTCAAAACGTGGAGGATAGTGAAAATGGAGTAGACAACACTGATTTCATCCGGAGAAATGACCATAGTCACAAGAGACCGCAGTGCCGACTGAAGTCCTCCCCCTGTCGACATCAGAATGACTCCTAGAAGTGTACAGTTTAGTGATTTATAGTTCTGAGGCATGGATTAGATTGAAGGCATACCTATGATTGCAACGGGTATAGAAACGCCCAGTCCGAGTAACAAACTGCCCAAACTAAGCATAGTTGTACTGGCAAGAGATATCGTAAAATCCGCTGCATATGCATTCATTCTGAAACGAGCTAAGAGCATCCTACTTATTTGCGGAAGAAGGATGATCAGGAACACAAACTGGACAGCCTCTCCGAGAGCCCATAAAATGTTGGCCTGCTCATGGTGTCAGCTTTTTGACTCTTATTCTCCCTGCGAGGTCGAATTCAAACACATACCTGAGCAAATTCCCAGTCATACCTTTTCGAAATGTACAGCAACAAGACCATAGCAAGCGAATCCTCACAGAGCTCGCCCAAGAACGACATCGATAATAATACGATGAGCGAAGAATTCCCGTAGACAACCCGTGCCCCTTCATGGAATTGCTTCGCCAACAAGAGGAGACGAGATCGAATACTAGCCTGTTTGCTGCTAAGGGATCCATCGGGACTCAATGTACCCATACCACGCGCATTATGTTGTCCTGGGTTGAGCACGGCGTTCTCATTCAGAGAACTCTTGGTGGAGAGGTTTGGTGCAAACGGGACGGCAAACACTGCGAGAAGAATGCAGAGTAATCCTAAAAGCCATGGCACCCACACATTACGGGTCATGAGGAACGAGCTCACGAGCTGGGCTAGGATGGCCGCTGCAATTGCCATGGCGCGAATAACCAAAAAGGTTGATGTCCGCGTTTCAGCCGTAGTCACGTCGGTGGCCATTAAATGTATAATAGTAATGATGATGGCAGGACCCCCACCAATGACTTCGAATAAGGGCGCAAGCAGGATGAGGCGGATCGGGGCCGAGTCTGAGAACCAGCAGATGAGACAGCTCCATGTCTCTTCACACAGGACTCCAAGTAACGCCAATTTCAAGGAAAGGTGGCGGCCATATCTTTCGGCGAACATACTCCACGGAATCACGAGAATGGCTATCCAGCGTTACATTTGCATGGTCAGCATAGAAATGAGATATAGCACATTAAGGGTTATTCAAGATGTACTCGGTAATGCCCCAAATACTCTCTCTGCACCCTTGAGGAAGGCCAATTCCTCTTGGACAGCCTTGCTTTTGCAACCTTCCCTTGCTGGTGTGTCCTCCGAGTTCCATGGCAGCATACGGTGGCAGATAATAGTCTCGTAAATTTGGGTTCGTGGGGCTTGTTGAATATTTTCTCCTAGGAAAAACAGAAAGGCCGTCAGATAGAGCAAAAGTAGCACACGCTTCGACCGCATATTGTCATTTTCATGGGACGTCCAATTGTGGTGACAATACTTGGTGGGAAAGTCAGAGAGATCAAATGTCCGGTTTGGGGCGGCAATGTGGGAATGTCTCGAGTACTGGATTCCATGCCCGGATCGTACTTTTGAACTGGTCCCCTAAACAGTTCCTTACAACACGCTAAATCTGACTCTTATCTTAGGTCCACTCATCAGAACTTGCCCATTGGTAGCACTCGGAAGGAACAACAAGGATTGTAGCCCGACCCATATAACCGGACAGATAAGGCGATGCGAGACTAAAGAGATATTGGGGCTTGTCGTATCTACTAGTACATAAGTGATTGCTTAGCCAGCAGGAAAGGCAACAACGACTATATATTCTCCATATAACTACTTATACTTAGGCTTACACATAATCATATTTGATCATAAATAAAAACGTATTCTAAAATTAGATCAAGCCATCAGATCAGACCTTACACATCGTTACGAGTGTCTACTGTGTTAGAATTCGTGCTAAATTACTAGACAGAACGGAGTTCCACATCTCTAACAATAACTATCTGATACCCCTGTTGATGGCCAGAATGTCGGTCACTATTTGGTCTAATTTACTTAAGTTAGTAATTTAATAATGAAACAAGCTTTAAACATATTGCATCACCGGTCCGTGGATATACACACAACTGCCTTCTAACATTCTATATGTTGCTGTATGAACGACATTTACGCTGTTCCTGGAGCCATTGCATGGATTCTGCCTCACCGGCGAGGCATCTGCATAACTAGACATCTGTCCAATAGTTAGGCTCTAACAGGGTAGTACATATGATCTGTAATCTGTGTATTACTCTTCCAGAGACCTATGTTATAAGAACCAACCAAACTATATACAGAATGTGACAAACGAATTGCTGGACAGCCCTAGAGGCTGCCATCCTTCCAGGGCCTATTGTGAGTTGGCCCAGAATGACTTTAAGAGCCCACGATCACCGTCTCGTAGTTTTCCTGGCTCTTCCACCTCCACTAGTGGACCGCATTCGAAAACAGCAATACGGTCGTATTGAGTGATGGTGTCGAGTCGATGCGTCACCGTCAACACAGTATGTTGGCCAAACGTTTTGTTCCAGGAAGTTCAACAGTAAGGTCTCTGTTACTCGGTCTGTAGACTACTCGTACGCTTGTCAACTATCAAAATCCGTTTCTCAGCATTCATCAGGAAGCTGCGTCCGACGCAAAGTAGTTGCTTCTGACCATGGCTAAGAGGTGATGCATCCATATCGGAATCCAAGACACCTCGTAACGACACTATTTGCCATAATTCCAATGACTCCAAGACGGCCTGTAACTCTTGTCGGAGTGGACTAGCAAAGGATCGAGCTTTTGTCAAATACTTCCAGGGAAGATCACGGGGGTCTGAGGAATAGTGTTGCATAACTATGGATCGTGCCGCGTCGCACAACAGGGTTGAGATATCGACACAGTCTATGACTATGGAGCCCTCACGAAGTGGTAGCAGTGGAGTGAGAAGTGATAACTATCGCGAGGCGAAGGCAGAAACCCCAATATATAACTACTGTATATGGTTGTGCTGGCCACTCCCTAAAGGCCTAGATACGGTCAGTACAGTTTGTAAATCACAAGCATGCCACAAAGTATCATGAGCTTTTCCAGCTAATCAGAATGAACGGAAACCGATCAATTCCTGTAGGTAGTAGGCACTATGTACCAACTTTCGAAACATATGCTTTCAGGGGGCGGGATGAAACTCATTTTATGAGAGTAGATCAGGGAATATCCAGACTAGAGCAGTAATACTAGACCGCAGCAAAAAGCTCATCCATAATAGATTATAAAAGGAAAATGTACGTGTGGTAATCTTGAAAGTTGAAATCACCAAATGAGGACTATGAAAATCTTTAAAACAAACAGACAAACAAACAATGCAAACCTAGCTCTACCAAACTGCAAGAAGATTAGAAGAAAATGAAACAGAGCACAAGAGACGATAAAATGGTAAATTCATCCTCATAGCTCTCGTTGTATCAACTGACTAACTAACAAAACCCTTTAGTTACGACTAAACCCTGGTACCCTACCTATCGCCCTCTTCCTCACCACAGCCGCGATCGCATATACGCGCACAGGAGCAATCCAACAATCTCTTGAATCCCTCCCTATAAACACATCTCTAGTTATCGCCCTCTTTTCATTTCTCGACGGGGCCCTAGAATCAATACGCACAAAATCCCCCGCCGCGTTCATATTGGGTCATATATTCACCGCTGTCTATGTCGTGAGCTTTTCGCGTCTTCGCGCGGGCCACCCATCTGGTGCCGAGATTGGATTATTTGGGTCCTTTGCTTTGGCTGTGATTCCGCTAGCGGGCACAGGTTTGAATCTTGTGTCTAAGGAATTAGGTTACGTTGGAGGATATGGTGTTGCGGTTTTTGGGTATACTTATGGGGGTGTTGGATTGGCTATGACGTTGCTTTTTTCGCTGGTGTTGTTTGCACATAGGGATGAGATTAGACAGATACAGACTCGGGTCGATGAACGGATATAAGAAGGGAGTATATAGCGAATAATATGTAAAATATTGGATATGTTTGTAAATTATTCAGCGTGAAATTGTATACATACAATATGCTTCTCTTCTTGGAGATATAGAGATAGACCTTGGGTGCTTGTCAGTAGCGCAAGTACTACTACGTTGCGGCCCTGAAATTCCCAGTCTACCTCAGGTACTAATTGGGCAAGGTGGATTTATTCATCCTCTGGATCCTCGTATATAAAACGAGCTGCTGAGAGCATAAACAGAAAAAATTGTCCAGTTGGGGAAGTTGGCATTATACCAGGATCTCACGGCACATCATGATGATAAGGGCTGTAGTAACTATACAATATGTAGGTCTCTTATCAGACCCTGTTGATAAAAACTACAACATCAGAGGAGAGAAGATGGAAAGAAATAGAAAGTTACAGACCACCAAACTACACAATTAAAAGATAAGTACCCTCGCCCCAAGTAACGTTTATCTGTCAATATGGAAAGAAGCGCAAGCTGTTAGCGATCTGTTCCATCTCTATATTGCTGACTACTTGCCAATAATTCCAATCATGAGACATCTCACTTGGAGCTGTGTAGATTGTAACTACTGGTAGTTGGTGGCAAATTCCAGCAGTCACCGTCCACGATTGTGATGCTACTGCTGCTGAAAAGTAATATCGCATTCGATGCGGCATACGGACTTCAGCAAATGGCCACCCTACATAGAAACCAAGATGTGCTACAGTGGCGTGCTCTCTTACTTAATTGAGCATGAGTCAGGAACATTGGATTCTTCATAAGAAATCAGTCACTTTACATCTAATTAAATAGAAAAATATAGAGCCGTTATATAATTAGTCCGATACTATTTAGTTCTAGATAGTTAGCTAAACAACGGAGTAGTCTTAAACTCTTAGATTAGTACACGCTACACCCCACATAAAGAAGGTTTAAGAATACTCCAGCGGGATTTATCCAAAACAGGAAAGCTACGATAGCCAGCTAGAAAATCAGGTATTTCTTGCTACATAAACTCGTATTTATACACATCAAGGATTGAAGCTATCTATCAAAGTCTAGCCATTGAGCTACATGCTACGTACAACTATATTACTAACTTAACTATAGCTGCTCATTCTATAGACGACCAGCATGCCGAACTTCGGTTTTCTTTCCGAGTCGGTTACGATCCTCGGGTCAATGCAGCCCCGCGGATTCACTCCACGTTTCCCAAGAGGGGAACTACAACCACCGTCAACGTAGCAAGGGACCCCGAAGGTCCTGGTAATAATGCTTGCGGGCGGTATAAAATCCCCGTAGAATCCAAATTTAACTCCGTGGACAATTCACACTCCTCTCTGAAAGACGGTTCACTCTTATCTCCTTCAATATGTCATTCTCCGTCGAAGGAAGATCTGCTATCGTAACTGGGGCGGGCTCGGGTATGTGCAAGATATCTAGTGCTTCTTCTACATTCAGAGCCATAGGGAGTTGACTAAACCACGAGTGTAGGAATTAACTTTGCCTTCGCCAAACTACTATTGGAGCATGGATGTAATGTACTCATTGCTGATCTAGCGCTTCGTCCGGAGGCGCAGGAACTGGTGGATAAGTATTCGAAATCGTCCAGTAGTCCCCGGGCCATCTTTCAGAGGACCGACGTGACCGACTGGAAACAGCTTGAGCTGATGTTTGAGGTCGCTGAGAAGGAGTTTGGGGAAATCGATGTAGTGTGTCCGGGAGCTGGGGTCTACGAACCGGTACGTTTCTTTCATTCATTCGTCAATCAATCTGCAAGTTGCGGTAGCACACCGCCATTCAGTGCCTTAAGTCATTGTTCTCACGCAGTACATTGTGTAGCATTGGAGCAACTTTTGGCGCCCACCCGGTACTCCTGAAAGTCGGGACCCGCAACATGGCAATCGATACGCCCTGCTAGATATCAACTTGACACATCCGATTCGCACTACGCAACTTGCTCTGGCCCATTTCGTTCGCCGTCGGACGAGCGGACGTCCGAAACACATTGTTCATATCTCCAGCATTGCAGGTCAGAATCCAGCTTTGGCGGCTCCGATTTATGTCGCTACCAAACACGGTATCAACGGCCTTGTACGGTCGTTGGGCAAGCTTGACAGCAAATTTGGAATTCGCGTGACAGCCGTTGCCCCTGGCGTGATAAAGACCCCACTGTGGACCGACCATCCGGAGAAGCTAAAGATCGTTGATACTGCCAGTGATGAATGGGTGACCCCCGAGGAGGTAGCTCAAGTCATGCTAGCTCTCATTCAACAGGACCAGGTCAGTGAAATTATCGGTGATAGAACCGGTCAAGGACCACAGTTTCCGGTACGTGGGGGAACTGTGCTGGAAGTGTCCAAGACGGTGCGCTCTGTGAGTGCGATTAATGATCCAGGTCCTGGGACCAGAGCCGGTAATACAGTGTCGGACATGAGCGTATTAGAAGACGAAGTCTTTGGGTTATTATCGCAGAAAGGATGGGGAACTCCGAAATTGTGAGGATATGGCTTTTATTTAGTAATTAAGAACCTCTTTTCCCATGGCTCTCTCCCTTACGTAAATTGGTACGTAGATATTATTAGATCGAGAGCAGAGAACGTAATGGGTAAAAAGATCCCCTCCCCCGTGACTTGGATCAAACCAGGTCATCAAATGCGGAGAAAATCCGCCCTGCGGTCGGAAAGGGTCTAGTGCTTGTGGGTTTATCGCCTTGACGCAACTCCGCCCGTGACTGGCAACATCCTCAAACCTGTCATCTTCCCTTATCTTCGGATATTACCCTTGCTCTTTTTTTTTCCCTTTACACCACTCGTTCACTTTCCTTCCCATTCTCTTTCCCTCATCCACCTTCGCCTGGTTGCGTCGCTGGTACGAGTGGCTATTATGTTGGTCACACCCGTCGCAACTTGAGTTGGTTGATAACAGCTTTTTTTCCGACGTCGTGTGGCCACCTTCTTATCTATTCACTCCATCGCCTTACACATTCCCCACAAAATGTTAGATGATGAGGCTACTGTCGGGGTTGGCCCCGCCGACGGACTTCGAAACGCATCGCGAAGGTATATTTTAATAATACCTTAACCATTGATATCGCTTTTGAATGGCCGCGTGTTGCTAACTAGGGGTAATTGCCCATTCTGTAGGCGTGGAATAAGAGGGAAACGGGACCCGGGGTTTCATGGTCAAGCCAGCTGGATCAGCTGTGTGATCAATCTGGTTAATACGAGTGAGTAGACAGACAAGCGGTCAATTCGAGAATCCATTCTCTAATGACGGTGTGATATGTTAGTCATCGGCGCCGGTGTTCTTGCTATGCCTCTGGCTATATCTCATATGGGAATCGTTTTGGGTGTCATCGTGATATTATGGTCTGGAACGACAGCAGGGTTCGGTCTCTACCTCCAGTCCCGATGTGCGCAGTACCTAGACAGGGGAACGGCGTCATTCTTCGCCTTGTCCCAGCTTACCTACCCCAATGCCGCTGTGATCTTCGATGCCGCCATTGCGATCAAGTGTTTCGGAGTTGGAGTCAGTTACTTAATCATCATTGGAGACCTAATGCCGGGAGTTGTTCAGGGCTTCGTTGGTGGTACCCCAGACTATGACTTCTTGGTGGACCGGCATTTCTGGGTAACAGCTTTTATGTATGTTGTTTTGTACTGGAAACTCAACCCGTACTGACCCCAGATCCCAGGTTGGTTGTTATCCCGCTCTCTTACCTTCGCCGGTTAGATTCCCTCAAGTACACCAGCATTGCTGCTTTGGTTTCCATGGCCTATTTGGTGATTTTGGTTCTCTATCACTTCGTGATTGGTGACACAATGGCGGATCGAGGACCAGTTCGTGTGATTCACTGGGCTGGTCCCGTGCCGATGCTCAGCAGTCTGCCTGTGATTGTCTTCGCATTCACATGCCACCAGAATGTATAGTTTTGACCTCTTTTCGATTTGTTTGGGACCAACTTTCTAATTACCGGACAGATGTTTTCGATATTGAATGAGATCGCGAACAATAGCCACTTTAGAACGACTGGAGTTGTCTTTGCCAGTATTGGAAGTTCTGCTGCAACATATGTTCTTGTCGCCATTACTGGTTATCTGTCGTTTGGTGACAGTGTTGGAGGAAACATCGTGGGCATGTACCCCCCTGGGCTCTGGGCGACAATTGGACGCGCTGCCATCGTTATGCTGGTTATGTTCTCGTACCCCCTTCAATGCCACCCGTGCCGCGCCTCGGTTGATGCCGTTTTGAAGTGGAAACCGAAGGCTTCAAACAGCAACGATAACTCGCCTCACCGCCATCCTCTTCTAGGCCCACGAGGCAATCGAACACCCGAACCCATGAGTGATCTTCGCTTCTCAGTCATTACGACAACAATCTTAGTATTGAGTTACATTGTTGCTATGACCGTCTCTTCTCTCGAAGCAGTGCTTGCGTATGTTGGTAGCACAGGCAGTACCAGCATTAGTTTCATTCTCCCGGGGTTGTTCTATTATAAGATCTCCTCGCCCGACTCACCTGCTCACCAACGACTGATGAAAGAAGACGACGAAGCGGCTGAAGGCATATTTTCCGACGATGGTGATGACAACGATGATCTAGATAATCAGGCCCGCTCGCTTACTGAGAGTGGTATCCTTCGTCGTGGGACTCGCCATTGGCGAAAGGCTTTACTGCGGAAGCTGAGTCTGGCACTCGCCATATACGGAGTCATTGTCATGATTGTCTGTCTCATCACCAACTCGCTCTTCATCGCCTCACACTAGAAACGGTTAGATTGATATATCACGCTATCAATGCCGCAAGGCATCTCTTTTCTGCTAGACAGGTAACTCTTCAGTTATGCTACTACCACTTCTTTACTCTCCTTCCCTTGAACTTACTCTCCTAATTTTCCTTTATTTTTCTCCTTTTCTTCTCCTTTGCGCCTCTGTTGGTTTAGAGGAACAGGTTTATTTTGGTCCACTCTTGAATCAATTACTACTATACCATTGATAGGCGTTGGGGATATGCGTTGGTTGGTCATGAGTATTTCGGATTCATTTAAGATTTGTTTCGTTCTTTCACTACAAACTCATTTTCTTTCTCTTTTAGTTTTTTCTGTTTCCATGTCTATATTACCTATATAAGGATTTAGTATGATGTCTCAGTGTTACTAATTTGCCTGACCCTACACATGTGCATCGCTCGAGGGGAGTAGATTGGATTTTATAACACGACACAATATGATCTGCGACCGGGGATCTTTTCCTTTGTAGAGGGTGATTGTTGTAAATACATGTAAGAACGTGGGCCTGTCTCATATATCGGATTACATTTTATGGCAAATATTGGTGGAAGAAAGCCAACATATTCCCGCCTGAGGCAGTTGCGTCATGTGACTGTCTCCGACGTCACGTTCTAGAAGCTCCCGTAGGCCGCCATTGTCATCTCACATCCATCAATCTCATTGTAATACTACTTCTTCGCCATCGACGTGCATGCTGCACTTTTCTCTAGATTAATATCAGTCACTCGTCAACGCATCTGTTAGCACCATGGCTGCTAATACTAGATATGAGCCAGCTCCTCAGCGGGACTCGTTTGAGGAGCGCGCATACACTCAGCCCCCGCCATCTTATCAGGCAACGGCCGATTACTCCCAAGCGCCTCGCAGTGAGGACGACAATGTTCCCGATGACTTCAAGGTACGTATCCACTCGCTGCCGGATAATCGCCCGCATCCCTAAAAACAAAATGAACCAAAAGATGCTAACACAATCTAGTTCGGTGGAATGGTCGCAGAAGGAACGCTACCTATCCGGATGCAATTCGTCCGGAAGGTCTACGCCATCCTGTATGTCCCAGCCCTATCCCAATCATTCCTCATTCGATAACCAACATCACAAGACTAACAGAAGCTTCAAACGCACAGAACTGCTCAGCTCCTTCTAACAACCATCATGAGCTCAATCTCCTTCTTCAGCGACAGCTACCGCCTTTGGATTCAGTCCAACTTCTGGCTGATGATCGTCTCAGTCTTCGGTGCCTTGGGCTTCATGCTCGTAACATACTGGAAGCGCAAGAGCTACCCGGCCAACCTTCTTTTCCTGACAGCCTTCACGGTTCTCGAGGCCTACTCCATCAGCGTCGTGACGTCCTTCTATGACGCGCGCATCGTAGTGCAAGCCCTTATCCTGACACTCGGCATGTTCGTCGCGCTCACGCTCTTCGCATGCCAGACGAAGTACGATTTCACCAACTGGATGCCGTACCTGTTCGGTGCGCTCTGGTTCTTGATCCTGTTCGGCTTCGTCGCTGCGTTCCTCCCTCATAGCTCTACTGTTGAGCTCGTCTATAGCGCCTGGCGGCGTTGATCTTCTCCGGTTATATCCTTGTCGACACGCAGTTGATCATGAGACACTACCATGTTGAGGAGGAGATTGCCGCAAGCATCTCGCTCTACTTGGATATTCTTAACCTGTTCCTGGCCATCCTCCGAATCCTAAACAACCAGCAGAACAACTAAACCTGTGTATCAAAGTTGGTTGCTTGAGACCGAAGCGCTGGGAAGACAGATTGTGTCGCAGTTCCAGACTGTCTGATAAGATGACTTAATTGTGGTCAGCCGCAAATTGGGCTTGTTTCTATATATCTATTAATCATGCTAGGTCTTTTTGCCCATGACTTGGCCCTGTTCCTGGCGTTCTAGCTCTTTCTGTTTCGGCCTCATATGTGATATACCGTATTTTAAGTTGTGCTTTGGAGCTTTGAATTATTGATAATTGAAGCTTGATATCCTGCAGGCATGAGTAGTGTAAGACTTAAGAATGACCTATGTAGAGAACACCAACATAAACCTAAACACATAAACACATAGACAAGAAAGGACGAGAGGCCAAGGGGATATTGTTTTCCCGCTTCTCCATCTTCTTGCACTATGCCCTTTGCAACTTCGTCTGCTCAACCTGGTTCCCGTCCACTCAGGCTGTTAAATTCAATATTGTGAAGGGCCAAAGCAAGATTTATTTCAAATTAACTAAACCACGAAATGTTACCATCCTGCAGAAACAGGCTGTTCCGCAGCAAATCAAGCAGATCATAAGGATCTAACCCGTTACAAGTACGAACCTCAAGCTACATAAATCTCACGATGTACTCTTCATAATGATCGAATCAATTCAGTCTAACCTGCTATATCCCAATAAAACGCCCATATCTAGCCTTTCAACACGTAGTATGTCTCTTCGACAGCAAGCGCCTCTCTTCAAAAGTCTGTTCATCTCTCGGTAGCGTATCAAGACGATAGCTATCCTCCTCATCCTTCCGAGACGACCCGTCACCCTCATCAGGGAGGATACCATGCTTCCTCACATGCGTCTCGAAATCATAGTACTTCTTCCCCTTAGTCAAGAGCTCTACAACAGCAATACCGAGAAGGACCACCGCGGTCGTCTGCCCAAAGTCCCACTCGTTCTCGTGCTTAATCTCGCCCTCGAACTTGCCCTGGTTTGCCTGCCGCAGCGCAATCGCCATATAAAGGTGCAAGGGGAAGTGGAGCGAGGAGAGGATCAGGATCCCGCGTCTCCCGCGAACACCCACGAACACGCCGGCAAGGATGACGGCTATAAGCCAGGAGCCGGTGACAGAGACGTAGATCTTGTCTGAGCCCGGGTGGGAGGCCGATGGGCCGGTCACTAGATGCGAGAAGTAGCATCTACCGGGGGCCGTGTTCGGGGCCCATTCGTCGAGGCGGACGCAGAGGAGGATGAGCAGAGCCAGGTATAACATGATGAAGATGAAGGTGGCTCGGTAGCGATTGTGGAAATAGGATACGCGCTCGCGGGGGCCCTTGGAATGAGACGTGCTGGCGTCGATCTTCGCGCGGCAGAATCGCCAGCAGACCAGGGCGGCTGTGTTCGAGACGCCGACGAAGCTGACGATGTCGAACACGAGGTGTAGGTGGTATGTATCCATGATCTGGGCCTGCGAGAACACCGTGACCATGTATGATATCCCGAGCGTGGATTGGATGTCCGATCCGATCATGAGAATGTTCGACACGAATTCCAGCCGCTTGCGCTCGATCTCCCGCTGCATAGAACCCTCCGGGTATGTGATGTCCATGTTACCGTGGGTGGTTAGGAAGAATACCCACGCCGACAGGCCGAGGGACAGCGCTGCTTGGCCGGCGAAGCCCACAAGGACCTAATCCATTAGTTAGCACGGAACCAACGCATCAGTAGCTTTGAAAGGTGTATACAAACCCCATTGCCGACCAAGGTGGCCATTTGCTCTCCCACCAGCTCACAGGCTTCACCTACTTCTTCCATCATGTCGGGTTTGTAAAGCGCAGGATTATGAGACCTCACTGCAGCGGGGCCTTACCCAACTCTCTTTATAATATACTTATAATCTCCTCGCCTCACGCCTACTCCGTAGAAATAAGCCTTGCGCAAGTTATGACCTCTCCTGTCGCGCGTTCATTCGTGCTGCATCTTGATTACCGGTATAGGTCTAGCCCCGTGTATCTAGAACGGTTACTTTAGCCCTATCTCAAGGCTTGATTTCCAGCTGTCTCTGGCCCCCACGCTGATCATGGCCCGTCAGGCTGGGATGTGCTGCGCTTCGGCCCCATCAGTAGTACAAACGACCTGGGCTAGGGCCTGTGCACAATGCTTCGCAAAAGCTGGGCGCCGCTGTTGGGAGGCCTGACGTGCAACTGCCTCTAAGCCTCCCGCCGATCGCGGTGATTCGACCTGTGATCTGTGGTTTTTCGGCCCCTAAGCAGCAACGTAAGCCACCTGCGCGATACAGGTGTACCCAATACAAAAGATGACCGAGCACTAAGCGAACCAGCGGTGCTGATTGCAAGCCGATACTGCAGACACGTATCACAACCCGACTAGATCATAATAGGGAGGATAGTGCGTAGCCTCTACGCAGAGAACATGATCAGTCTGTGGTATAAATAAACTCGCAACATCTGACAGGAAGAAAAAATTGAGGTTATCTAAGCTGTCCATTCAAATTTTTCAGTTGTGGATGTGTATATGTGCGCAGTTATTGCCAGCTCTAATACCATGGACTCTAATGTAGGTTTCAATCTCGTGTGCAAAGTCCCCGTAGTATATATAGAGAGTGTAAGTTATAATCGATCGGGTAAAAAGGAGTGAGTTTTATAGTTGAAGTGTTCACGACTATCAGGATTATATATATGTTACTCGCGAGCTTGAGTTTGTCCGCGCCGGGAGAATACAAAAATTGGGGTTTCCCGGGGTATTTATATAGAGCGGGTTCATATATATTACGTGAGTCCAACGTCTTGGGTAGCCAAAAAGCGAAGGACCAAAAAGTGTTAGTAGAAGAAGAGTACAGCAAGTAGCCTGCGAGACATTTTCCTGGCACCAAAAAAAACAAGACAAAAAAAAAAGAAGGTCCTTTGTTGTCGTTGCTTTCACAGTCCCGCAGAATCTAGCTGTACAAAACCCCATTTCACAAACAAACAGTCCGAGCCCTAACAATGCTATCTACCCTCTTCATCCACGATAAGCCACCCTCAAAACCTCATGCCAATTCCTGAAACCCAACCCCCGAAAAACAAAACCCCGAAACATCACCCATTAATTTACTAAGTGAAACCCTATCCCTAAGGAAAGAGGAAAGTTTTCACGTACACAGCAAACTCTCGGCCCTTACCGAAGCAAAAACCCGACGATCATTGAGATCGACATGAATGACCGCCCATTATCCACATATTTGGCCTCGTAGGGATGGGGCGCGAGGATCGACGGTTTGCATTCTCGGAGGTTCGGGGATTACGTGGATTGTGTTCGCTTCGGGGGTTTGGATAGTTATCAACTGGAGGTTGGTGGGTGGTTTTTGGATCGGAGCATGTTTGGGACTTGATGGATTAGGAAGGAGATCGTGTGTTCAATGCGCGAGGTCGATTGCGTGGAAATTTACTTGTCGGGGTTTGGGTAGTGTTGTCTACGTAGGGTTTGTAGGGCGGATGGTTGAGTTTTGAGTGAGCGACAGGGTTATGTCGATCCTGATAGTGGTCTGCTGAATTGCCATGGTGATGGAGGTATACTGGGAAGAGGAGAAAGCCAATCATCAACCTATCTCTATTAGACTATGTATTTCTATATGTCATTATAATTATGTCCATGAATATGAAATATGCAACGTTTTTGGCTGGTAAATCAAACGTGCTCCCGAAAATGCAAGATGCAAAGGATGATGTAGTCGTTAGTGTGCAAATCTGTCGTCGTTGTCACCATATGAGGCGTAGTCTTCGACAATGATGTTATCTGAATAGGGTCTAGAGTCGGTCGGGTCGTCGTCGTCGCTACTGTCCTCAGGAGTGTCTCCGTTTGAATGAGACGCAGATGCACCACCCATATCCTCCGGTCGCTTTCTGCGCTGGAAGTCTTGTGCATGGGCGGAGGCCAGAATAGTTCCCACTCGGGATAAGCCGCGTGCCCGGAGGGATGTACCCGGCGTGGGCGGAGTTCCGTGTTCTATATCGGTCGCTGGAGGTTGAGGAGTGAGCTGCTGTGGTTCTTGAACCACCATTTCCTCCGTTGGTTGGTCGGTTTCTGTATGTGGTGAGGCCACCTCATAAGGTAAAGGCACGTCTCGTGACGCTCGGAAAAGCAAAACATTTGTGCAGTGTTCGTTCTCCACTCGAAATATCGTCCATATGCCCCTTCGCGAAATCTCAGAGAACGCTACCACAAAGCTAAGCACAGCCGAATGTTGGATGTCGTGAGCGAATATGGCGTAGAATATCCAGTTAAATCGCACCACGACATCGACAACCATGGCTGCATAGTAGACCCATGCCCGGTGGAAAGCCAGAACCTCGCGTAGAAGGGGGTGTTTGGCATAAGGGTTCCCTAAACTCCAATCCATGGCAAGGTCCCAAACGCAGCAATAGACTGCATTCAATAGCGCGAATGTGATGAACGGTGCTTGGAATCGGGTTACCCTGTCGATGCGATACATACTCAGGGTGGCGTAATAGAGAACACCGAAGATGTACTTTCCGAAATTCAGCAAGTGTGGAAAAACATTCCGTGTGTCAGCGTATCGACGTAGACATTGCAAAGATCTCCAGATCGATGGAAGGCAAGTGAAGAATCCCAATAGTCTGGAGTGAGAAGAATTGCATTGCGCGTGCTCGGTCCAGTGTTTAGCATAAAGGCAGAAAAATAGCTCGATATTCTGGACCCGTCATTAGTTTCAATAACGTGTCAGAAGAGCGTCTTACACTTACCCCCATAGCATAAGTCTGCGAGCAGTACATGTCGCCCAGAAAGAAATCCCGAAACTCGACAGGATACAGTCCTGCTAGTAATAGACGCCACTGCTGCTTGTGAGCCAGGCCATTCCCGAGTACAGCTGAAGTTCTCACTCACATTGGAATATGCCCACCATTTTCGACTGCGATGATACAGTATACGGGCAGGCAGAAAAAGAACGACCACCGTTATTCCTATAAGCACGACTGGCCAATAAATGTACATGGCATTGACCGATAAAAAGTTGAGCCACATGAAGAGACCCAATAGAAACATGAAAAGGCAAGGCAGCTGTTTTGACGTTAGCTTGACAGCGATGATGGTATTTAGGGACCGCATACCTCAGTTAGCTGGCGCCAGTCTAACGCAGTCCTCGTATCGTATTCGAAAATAAAGACATAGTTGATTTTACTCCTCGTCCAAACAATGCAATCCAAGCAAAACAGTAAAAAGTGAAAGGTTATGAGGAAAAATCCGCCGTAT